CCAAGCGCCTCGGTAGACGTGCCATCCGCCCGTGACCGGCTCTGTCCGCCCGTGCGACGCGCAGTCCGCCCGCAAGACGCGCCATCCGCCCCCCCCGAGAAGCGCCATGCACCATCCGCCGTTGACCGCCGCCGTCGCCATCGCCGTCACCGCCGCCGCCGCTCCCGCCGCTCCTGCCGTGCCGTGCCGTGCTGTGCCGTGCCGTTCCGTGCAGTGCCGTGCCGTGCCGTGCCGTGCCGTGCAGTGTCGTGCCGTGCCGTGCCGTGCAGTGTCGTGCCGTGCCGTGCCGTGCAGTGCGCCCGAAAGACCTCGCCATATCGTGCTCCGCCGTCAGTTGTGCTTCGTGCGCTCTGCAGGAAGAAAGACGGAAAGAAACAGCAGGAGTTGAAACACGGCATGAGTTGATAAACGGCAAGACATGAAAGGTTGAATGAGATGGTAAACGGCAGGACATGAAAGGTAGAATGAAATGGTAAACAGCACGACATGAAAACGGCGGCACATGAATCGCGGCATGAGTTCGTAAACGGCAGTACATGAAACGCGACATGAGTTGGTAAACGGCAGGACATGAAACACGGCATGAGTTGGTAAACGGCAGGACATGAAATGCGGCATGGTTGGTAAACGGCAGGACATGAAAGGTCGAATAAGATGGTAAACGGCAGGACATGTAAGGTCGAATGAGGTACCTCAATTGGAGCGAGGCGCAGCTGGTAGCGAATCGCCGGCTGAGAGATGCGCCGCCAAGCGCCTAGGTAGACGCGCCACCTTCTCACCACCGTCGCTGCGAAACGCGCCGTCTGCCCGAGAGACACGCCATCAGCCGCAACGAGCTTAAAGCGTACGTCACCATCCGTCACCGCGCTTCGCCATCCATGAGGATGGCGGACGGTAAGACACGTCGAGTTCTGCAGTAAAGAAGGAACACGAATCCGTCAATGAGGAAGTAAAGTGACAAAACGAAGAAAAGACATGAAACGAAGCGTGGGGCTGAGGATGAAATAGCCAGACTTACCTCAGTCCGTGAGAGGCGCTGCTGGTAGCAGCCGCCAAGCCTTGTATGGCTGAAGCGCCGCCAAGCTCCTCCGATGTGCCCTGCGCCAGGCGGCGTCCGCGCGTTGCCGTGCGCCGTGCGTTGCCGTCCGTTGCCTTGCGTCGCCATGCGTCTAGAGGAAGATAAACAAGAACCATCAAGATTCGGAATTCGTCAAGAACGGGTACCGTCAAGATTCGGAATTCGTCTCGGAGACGGAACGATACGAAAGGAAGCCGTCAAGATAGATAAAACAGGATCATTTAGCCTTACCTCATCCTGAGGGAGCCGCTGCTGGTAGTGAATCCGCGATGGTTGAAGCGCCGCCTCCGATGTGCCGTGCGCCGGTGGGACCTCATGCGTCGCCTTGAGACGCCATGCGTCGCCGTGCGTCTGGGGGAAAGAATGCAACATGAATGATACATCAAGAAAGCGTGGAAATATTTTAGAAACCGTCAAGGACAGGAAACTGTCAAGGAGACGGAAAAAGGCTATACACGAAACGAAGCCGCCAAGACGGAATCAACGATCAAGATAGAATTCGTTACCTCAGCCCGATCAAGGCGCTGCTGGTAGAAACTCCGTCCGTCGCCGTCCGTCGCCGTATGCTCGCCGTACGCTCGCTGTGTCGTCCGCTAGCGATTCGCCGCGTAGCTGATCGCCGTCGGCTCGTGTTGCCGTTGACGGTGGAGCCGTGCGAGTGTGACTGCTTGACGCTAGAAGCCAATGACAATGGTAGAGCAGTCAATGACGACGGTACAGCAATCAACGACGTCGGTAGAGCAGATGACGACGGTAGAGCAGTCGTCGCCAAGGTCTGCAGGGAAATTGGAGATATGATACGTTAGTACTAGGAAAATGCGTTGCCAAATATACGTTAATCACGCGAAGGATTTCTTCATACCTCGGCCCTTCTCGGCCCATCTCGGCCAGGACATGACGGCGAAGCCGAAAGCCGAAAGGTCGCCATCTTTGCTGCGTCGTAGTGACGCTTTCGAGACGCTTTCGAGTACAAGGCCTGAAAAGAAGAATGCAACATATCAGTACAAGTGAGACAGAAACAAGAACAAGTTAGAACAAACTAAGGAACAAACTTACACAACACACGTACAAAGCGAGACTACAACATGTTGACGGTGGTTAGCTAACCACGACCTAGCACAACCTGGAGTGACCTACATCGACCTAAGAAAAACCTACTTTGACGAGCTGAGACTATGGGGAAGCGATGAACTAAGAAGAAGAGAGACTACCTATGTTGGGACGGTGGAAGGAGAAACACGGTAGCAGCGCGACCTGCAGTGGGAAACGAAGAGAAGGAGAGGAAGCGTGATGAGATGGAGAAGAACATGGCTGAAATGTCGTGCTTTCAATTGACGTGAAGAGTGTTGGAGAATCGAGTTTCTGCTGCCCCAGCCCTTAGCACACAAGCAGCAGCAAGGGGGAATGTCGGCGATGAATCAGAGGCTTCGGGAAGTACTTCGAAAGTTCCACCACCAATCAGATTTCAGCCGAAGACTCGATACAGTTCAAAGCTGCCTTCAAACCGAAGTGTTGGCAGTTTCTACAGGTTTCTACACATCAGAATCAGCTATAACAGAAATATCCAGAGTTTTCTTATTCATGCACCTCATGTGGCACTCAAAGTCACTCAAGGTCCATCTATTAGAGTACGACGGCTTATGCCCGCTATGCTTGCTTGCCTTTACTTTATCATGCTATTTCTAGCATAGGATAATTATATGCATGCATGAATTACTTGATTTCCTAGGCTAGGTGCTTTCCTATATTTTATTATAGTTATAGCACCGAGCTAGGTTGCGTGCACCGAATTCTGGCTTTTCGGTTGCCATCGAATTGCCTTCTACCGAATTCGGGAAGGATCTGTTCGGGACGCTTTGTGACCCGCGGAACCTTCGCGTAACACCTGGTTACGGGGCCTTGTGTCGAGCCTATATATAGCCTCGTGTTGTACCCAGGTGATCATTCAATTACAATTCTCTTTTCTGAGCTCGATCCTAGATCCTCACACCATCCAATCTAGATTGTGCCCAAGTTACCAGGGAAGTTACATTGTCTATCAGCCTAGTTTGAGCTTTCAATCTGTCTTGTTTGTGATGCCTATAGAGTTGTGCTTTAGTGGGCTTGTTAATCTTGAACATAGTGAAGTTTTACCTCATCCAGTCAATTCCAGCAGCCCTGCTAAGACTTTCCAGCCCTCCGGTAGCAGCGCGACCTGTAGTGGGAAACGAAGAGAAGGAGAGGAAGCGTGCTGAGATGGAGAAGAACATGGCTGAAATGTCATGCTTTCAAGTGACGTGAAGAGAAGTCATGCCGGGTCAAAGGCGCGTCCAAGGAAGTCTGAATTTCGAACTCGAGGCGCGTTCGGTGCATGGTTGGAATTGGAAATTGAGCCGAGTACAACTCAGCTCGAAATTAGGCGCGGCGTGAGGGCGAAATCAGAAATCCTTTTGCTTATAACTTGCTTTGTGTTTTCTGTTTTTGTATGCCTTCTTCAATGAAATTACTTCAACTTTCTGCCTTGGCGTTTTCCATCAAATTCCTTCACACAGTTGAAGCCAGAGGTTACTATGCATACTACTAAGACTCTAAATAGTCTTCATAGTCTAGACTAAAGGCTGCGCACGTTCAAGAGCTGGTATCAGAGCTGGTTCAAGGCGTGTTATAGCGTTTGAAGGATAGGCGGAATCTATGAAGTATGACGGGAGATCATACTGAGGCAAGTTCGGGCTCCTCTGTGAGCATTGGAGGCTCAGAACTACAGGCCATCCTAACAACGCTAGCACAAGCTAAATTGACGACGAAACCATTGATTGGGCTTAGCGAGGCCCAACGGTTCCATCGAGAAAATTATAGCACGTGGCGACTCAAGTTCATTCGTAGAGCGGAGGAAGTCGATCTCTGGCCGTACTATCATCCCGACAAGGAGACGGGAGAGGGCGTCCCACCATCTGCAAAAGAAAAACCAGAAGAAAATGCGTCATTCAAAAAAAGGAGTAAGCAAGCCTTTTTTCAATTGTGCCATTCGGTTTCTGACAGCATTGCAGTGGGGCTGGATCAATTTGCGGGAGAGGAGAACTCTGCCGAACGAGCCTGGGAGTACATGGAAGCTGCTTACCTTGGGCTTACGGATACGAACAAAGCAGCCATTCGGAAGAAACTCCTTCTATTGAGTATGGAGCCGGGAGAGAGGGTCATTGACTACATGAATCGAGCAAAGGGGTACAATGACGACCTCAAGGCGATGGGGGCAGCTGAAACTGAAGGAGAAATGATGGGGTACATCATTACTGGGCTGCCCAAGGAGTGGGAAGCAGAGATAGGGCTCCTAACCTGAAACCCACCCGCGAATATGACCAAGCTGTTGGAGACGCTCCAAGCCCTGGAGCGGGTGAAAGCTGATCGGCTCAGGAAGGAGATTAGCTTGAGCGGAATGGGACCAGTCACTCATGCTATGGTAAACGCAGCAGCGACAGGGAAAGGATACGGAGGTTTCGGGGTGTGTTTTCAGTGTGGGAAGAAGGGTCATTAGCAGATAGACTGCTATGACAACCCGAGGAGCAGAAATTTCACGGGAAAGTGGAGCGGTCCGCAGCAAAGGGGCCTGCAAAATGGAGGGCACCAGAGAGAGGGGGAGGTTCGAGGCGATAACAAGATGCAGAGAGGCGGATTTTCAGGGGCATGTCACTATTGCCAGAAAATTGGGCATAGGGCAGCCAACTGCTACTCGAACCCGAACAGCAGGAACTACCGAGGGGCAAACCAGCAGCAGAATCAACCACCAGCAGCAAAAGCAAATGCAGTGGAAGCTGAAAACAGTGAGGCGGAAGTAATTTTGGGGGGAGCTCACAAGGCAAACATGGCAAGGGCATCGAGAGTGTGTTTGATGGCAAAGGGGTTTGGTGAAGCTGCGTGGTTCATGGATAGTGGCTGCACGCAACATATGACCAATCATCGTGAGTGGCTTACCGGATTGAGGGAGTCTAGTGTACCCTACGTTCTATTGGGCGATGAAGGGAAACTGAGTGTGAAGGGGGAAGGAGAGTTGCTGCTCCAGGGAGAGTACGGGGAGCTGAAACTGGAGAATGTGCTTTTAGTGGAGAAGCTGTCACTGAATCTGATCAGCCAAACTCAACTTGACAGCACGGGGTGCAAAACCTTCAGCAACAAGGGGAAGCTGTGGGTTTTCAATGAGGATTGGAAGGTGGTTGCAGAAGGGAACAGAAATCAGGGGTTGTATGAAATGAAGCTGAGAAAGAAGGGGCTGGAAGATGAGAATGCCACCTACCTGCCATCACTCGAAGGGGACCTAGCTAGGGAGGAGTTGAAGGCTCGGCTTGGTGGCTTACCAGTGAAGGAGCTGCAGCAGGAAGCTTCAGCCATGGTGGTTGGGATGGAGAAGGTGGAATTGGAGACCTTGCACAGGCGCATGGGGCATGCAAGCATGGATAGGGTCAAGGAGTTGGTAAAAAAGGGCATGGTAAAAGGTGTGGCACTGAAGGAGGGGGCTGGAAGCAAGGGAAAATGCAGCAAGTGTGTTGAAGGTAAAATCACAAAGTCCCCTCACCCCCACCACCAGGTTCATGAGCCTTATGGCACCTTGGACATCGTAGCAGCCGATGTGTGTGGGCCTATGAGGGTGGCGTCACGTCGCGGTAGCCGCTACTTCGTTACCTTCACTGATTTGGGAACAAGGCACACATGGGTGACGGAGCTGAAAGATAAGGCAGAAGTGTTTCCTAGCTTCGTGACTTGGATGGCGGAAGCGGAGCGGCAAAGTGGGAAGGTGTTGAAAGTTTTGAGGACAGATAATGGTGGGGAGTTTACAGGGGACCTGTTCAACAAGTTTTTACAGAGTAAGGGCATCCGACGGCAGCTGACTGTACCCTACACTCCACAGCATAATAGCATAGCGGAGCGGGTGAACTGTTCTCTACTGGGTAGTGTCAGGAGCATGTTGGCAGATAGTGGGCTGCCACTGAAGTTCTGAGTGATGCATTGGCAATGGCGTGCTGGTCCAAGAACCGCCTACCTACCAAGGGACTTCGGGCAGATATTGTCAGAATATGATCTTATGGTTCTAGCCTGTAGTGGGGTGCTCTATAGCGAGTACAACCCTTCTAGGGTTTTGCTATTTGTATCCTCATTCCTGCTAGTTCAATCCTCTTTCTTCTTCTAACTTTTGACAGATATGACTCCCCACGAGGCCTTCTATGGCAGGAAGCCGAATCTGGGGTTTGCCCGGGTGTGGGGGAGTATGGTGCAATACAGAGAGCCAGCCGGTCCGGATCATAAGTTGCTGCCCAAGGCTCATTGGGGGATTAACCTCGGTACCTGCCCAATGAGCAAGGGGTGGGTGATCAAGGATGTAATTTCAGGAAAAGTCACGATCACTTGGGATGTTGTCTTCTACGAGGAGGTGAACTACCTGCAGTGGAAGGGAGTAGAGAAAGAGATTGCAGCAGCATGGACAACAACTGCACCGGACAAGGTGGAGGATCTTTTGGAGGAAAAGGAGAGTGAGGGAGTAGGGTATGAAGGAGATGAGGAACTCGAAGATGTGGAACGGGCAGATTCAGTTGATTGGGTGTGGGAGAAGGCACTAACTAGTGAAGCGGATGAAACCAATGGAGTGGAGATAGCAGGGGAGCAGCTAAGCAATGAAGTAGCCGAGGGTGGCAATGAAGAGGTGGTTGGAGAAGAAGGAGATGAAGAATCAGCAGCTGAAGGAGATAGTGATCCATGGAAGCTTTTAAACAGTGATGACAGCAATGTCAAGATGAGGGAGATAGAGGAATTACTTGAGGAGGGCGCCATCGTGATTGGAAGGGAAGTGAAGAATGGAGAAGGGAAAACACTGGCGGATTCCAGTGAGGATGAGGCTGAATCACCTGCGGAGGAGTTGGGGAAAGGAAAGAGGTTGAAGAAACCAAACCTCGGCATGCGCAACTGCTGATGACGTGTTGGAAGGACATCCACACCCACCTCCTACTCTCTGCCACAGCTACTGACCTAGTCTCCAATGAAGGAAAAGTGACACACAACCTGCCCAAAGAACCAGTGAGCATCGAGGAGGCGCTAGAGGGTCCAGAAAGGGAGCAGTGGAAAGCGGCAATTGAGGAGGAGCTGAACACATTGGCTGAAAGGGGCACATGGAAGCTAGTACCTATGCCCGAAGGGAGGAAAGCCGTGGGAGTGAAGTGGATTTTTAAAATCAAGACCGGTGATATGGGGCAGCTGGAAAGGCTCAAAGCAAGGCTTGTAGCCAAGGGCTACACTCAAGTGGAGGGGAAAGACTACCAACAAAATGAGATCTACGCTCCAGTGAGCAAGTTGGCAACGGCGCGGGTTTTTCTCAAGGTGGTAGCAGCAAGAAAATACTTCATGGTGCAGCTGGATATTAAAAACGCGTTTTTGTATGGGGTGTTGAAGGAGGACATCTACCTCGAGCAACCACCAGGGCATGATGACGGCTCGGGCAGAAAATGCAAGCTCAACAAGGCATTATATGGGCTGAAACAGAGTCCTAGGAAGTGGTATATGGCGATGGATGAGCGGTTACTACAAGGGGGATTTCAGAAAAGCGAGTGTGATAGGGCATTCTACTGGAAGGGAGAAGGGAAAGAGAAGGTGTTCTTGGTGCTATACGTGGACGACATCTTGGTGGCAGGGGCGTTAGAGGAGGAGGTAGAGAAGGTGTGTGCTCATCTTGCGGAAGTTTTTCAAGTGAAGCAGATTCCGAGGACCACACTCTTTTTCGGCATGAACCTAGAGCGACGTAAGGAGGAGAGGAAGATGTTCCTACACCAGCAGAAATATTGCAGCAGGGTGCAGCAGAGGTTTGGCAATGGCTACACGAAGGCAATTTCGACACCATTGAGTGGGGTAGCTGAAAGCGACAGTGAAAGGGAGGAGGATGTCAACCAATGGGGCTGTAAAGAGAGAGCTATGCAAGTATATCAGTCCATGGTGGGGTCTATCATGTATCCGGTCTCATGCACGCGCGTCGACATGGCATACGCAGCTAGCTATCTTGGGCAACAAGTGCAGCAGCAAGGGGAGAGAAAATGGAGAGAGATGAGGACTATCGACTACCTACTGCAACATGAAGATGAGGGGCTGTCATTTGAAGGAGGTGAGGAAACTCTGGAGTTAGTGGGGTATGCGGATGCTTCACATGCATCCGATAAGAAAGCAAGGAAGGGAGCATATGGTTACGTATTCTTTCTCGGCGGGACAGCAATCATGTGGCAAGCAAAAAGGTTGGCTGACATAGCGCTCTCTAGTGCGGAAGCGGAGTACATGGCTCTGTTTTTCGCGTGCCAAGAGGGGGTTTGGCTGAGAAGGCTACTCAAGGAGATGGAAATCAAGGTGGAAGGGCCGACGGTGATACGCACGGATAGCAAATCTGCCATTGACTTGGCTCACAACGACAATTGGCACGGGAGGACCAAGCATATGGATGTGAAGTGTCATTGGGTGCGTTCAAAGGTGAGTAGCAAGGAGTTCAAGTTTGAATTCGTACGTACGGAGGCACAAGCAGCAGATTTTCTGACTAAGGTGTTACGAAGGGCTAATTTTGAGCATTGCAAGAGAGAGGTTGGGATACGAATCTTGGCTGAATTGCAGGGGAGTGTGGAGCAGGCATAGAGCTGGTTCAAGGTGAAACATGCGTAAGCTGGTTAGCAAACCACAGGGGAGATTGTTGACGATGGTTAGCTAACCACGACCTAGCACAACCTCGAGTGACCTACATTGACCTAAGAAAAACCTACTTTGACGAGCTGAGACTACGGGGAAGCGAGGACCTAAGAAGAAGAGAGACTACCTATGTTGGGACGGTGGAAGGAGAAACACGGTAGCAGCGCGACCTGCAGTGGGAAACGAAGAGAAGGAGATGAAGCATGCTGAAATGGAGAAGAACATGGCTGAAATGTCGTGCTTTCAAGTGACGTGAAGAGAAGTCACGCCGGGTCAAAGGCGCGTCCAAGGAAGTCTGAATTTCGAACTCGAGGCGCGATCGGTGCATGGTTGGATTTGAAAATTGAGCCAAGTACAACTCAGCTCGAAATTAGGCGCGGCGCGAGGGCGAAATCAGAAATCCTTCTGCTTATAACTTGCTTTGTGTTTTCTGTTTTTGTATGCCTTCTTCAATGAAATTACTTCAACTTTCTGCCTTGGCGTTTTCCATCAAATTCCTTCACACAGTTGAAGCCAGAGGTTACTATGCATACTACTAAGACTCTAAATAGTCTTCATAGTCTAGACTAAAGGCTGTGCACGTTCAAGACAACAGACGTTCTGTTGGAGAGCGGATCTTGACCAGTGATGCACGGCGTTCAGGTCTGCGACTTTCAGGTCCCGTAGTTTAATCCGTCAACGGCGATGAAGCGCAGTATGCAGGGAGAGCACGTTAGTACTAGAGAATATGTTGCCGAAAAGTTAGGACCAAACATTAATTACGAAAAGGGCTTCACTTACCATCTCGACGCATCTTGACGGCGCACGACAATCCGAAATGCAGCCGTGATCGTCGCTGTGTCGGCAATCGTCGTCGTCGCCAAGAGGTCTGAAAAGACAAGGCAACAGATTAGTACGTAGACAAGTGAGAAGGAAAACTTGGAGGTGTCACTTATAGCTTAAATCAGAGGTATTACTTAGACAAGTCAAGGATTCACTTACCTGAGACAAGTCAAGGATTCACTTACCTCGACAAGGACTTGACCCGGCCTTCAGGTTCGCGACTGTCAGGTGAGAGCCAAATGAACGAGCTTGACTTGGGGCTGGGCCAATCGGCACTGTATGCCGGGTAGAAGCACTCCAGTCTTAGACACTCTGCAGGAAAACAAAAACGAGTTAGAAACATGTCAAACAGTTTTTACGAAACAAGTTGAACAAACGAGCCAAAAACGGTTGTAGGAGAAATGGAACATTACTTACTTCCACTCGACCGTCTCCTTCCCGGGAGAGGCCTACCAGCAGCGCCTTGCAGCTTTTGAAGAGCTTTGAGCGGAGACCCCGGTGCGAGAAACACGCCGTAGATTATTGGCTGCGTCGGCGATTTTGAATTGCTCTCCAGTCGGCGCTTTCAATCGTCACTTTCGAGTTGTCAAGAGGTCTGCAGGAAGAAGGCAACAGTTTAGTACACGAAACCTAAAAGAAAAACAAGAACTTCCTGACAAATGTAAAAAACAAAAATAAAAAAATTATGGCAGAAAGTTATTGCAAGCTGCACTTGCCAAGGGTCGTCTGTCAGATTATTATAGCTGATGCATGTTTGTAGGCTATAGTGGGGTAGCACATATGGGGTACAGCTTTCTAGGGTTGTATTTGTACCCAACACTGACTTAGTCATTCTCATTCCTGGTCATTTATTTCTCACATGGTATAGAGCGAGTTCCCTGTGGGAACGTTGCCTAGGGCCCACCGAAGCGCGCCCCGAGGCGCGCACCTTTTTTTTAGCGACCCCTCGAGTCGCCCTTTCCCTCGCGGCCCCGCCGTCCCTCAGACGCGGCCCCACCACCCCTTTTGATCGCGGCCCCGCCTCCCGATCGCGGCCCCGCCTCCCCGTCGCGGCCCCGCCACCCGATCGTGGCCCCGCCGCCAGCTACGTCGCGGCCCTGCCGCCTGCTCTGACGCGGCCCTGCCGCCTACTCTAACGCGGCCCCGCCGCCCGCTACGACGCGGCCCCGCCGCCTGCTCTGACGCGGCCCCGCCGCCACCTCTTACGCGGCCCCGCCGCCACCTCTGACGCGGCCCCGCTGCCTGATCTGACGCGGCCCCGCCGCCACCTCTGACGCGGCCCCGCCGCCTGATCTGACGCGGCCCCGCCGCCACCTCTGACGCGGCCCCGCCGCCTGCTCTGACGCGGCCCCGCCGCCCGCTACGACGCGGCCCAGCCGCCGACTACGACGCGGCCCCGCCGCCAGCTACGCCGCCAGCCCCGCCGCCTGCTCAGCCGCGGCTCCGCCGCCCTCCCTGCCGGCCCTGCTACTTCGGCCTCGCCGCCCCTGGTCTCGCGGCCCCGCCACCCTACCTGCAGCAGCCGAGCCGCCCACCTGCAGCAGCCGAGCAGCAGTGCAGCCGAGCCGCCCCGCACCCGAGCCGCCCTGCCGCCGAGCCGCCCGGGAGCCGAGCCGCCCTGCACCCGAGCCGCCCTGCCGCCGAGCCGCCCGGGAGCCGAGCCGCCCTGCACCAGAGCCGCCCTGCCGCCGAGCCGCCCGGGAGCCGAGCCGCCCAGCAGCCGAGTCGCTGAGTCGCCGAGCCGCCCTTCTGCAGAGTTGCCCGGCCTGCCCTGCCTGGTGAGCACAGTCCCACTGTCACTGCGTGCTCTTCCCCTACTGCTTGCACTACTTCGCTGTCGTCGTCATGGCTACCCCTAGTGTCCTAGCTTTTGACGCTGAGGGTCGCGCCATTGACTTTGAGGTCTGGGTAGACGACCTGCAGTTGTTTTTACAGTGCGATAGGGCAGACGACCTCTCTCTCGTTGACCTTACCTCTGGCGCCTCTCCTGCTCCTGCTGCTGAGGCTGATCCCACCGTGCGCTCTCAGTGGGCCACCCGCGATGCTGCTGCACGTCTTGCTGTGCGTCGCCACCTCCCTACCTCTGAGCGCGCGCACTTTAGTCAGTACAAGAGTGCTCAGACCTTGTACGACGCTGTAGTTGCGCGCTACTCCTCCCCTGCCACTGCTGCACTGAGCCGTCTCATGCTTCCCTACCTCTTTCCTGACCTCTCTGCCTTTCCCACTGTCGCTGACCTCATTACGCACCTCCGCACTAGTGACACTCGCTACCGCGCCGCCCTTCCTGCTGAGTTCTGCGCTAAGAACCCCCCCCCCCATGTACATCACTCTCTACTACGTAGTCGCACGCCTCCCTGACTCCCTTCGCGTAGTCAGGGACCACTTTCTCGCAGTCTGTCCCACCACCCTCACCGTCGACGTCCTCGAGAAGGC